TTATTTAGCTTTTGAAGGCGGCTGAAAACGTGCAAATCGGTGAGTCGCTTTGAAGGGAGTGATCACGATGGCTACGATAGCTGGAGCAGTGTTAAGAGGCCGTTTCAACCACCCCACCCCAGTGTGCTGATGAGACTGATGGGTCTGGTTTATCAATGACGTTTAATAACTCCCGTAAAATCATCGAGCCGTCGTAATCGCTAGCTTTTAGCGCTGTTTATTAAGCAACGAGACGCGGTATTTAACAGTAAGTACACTAGCTTTATCCAAGCAGCCTACTTATTGTGGTCGACCAGAAAATAGCTAACAGGTTGGTCAACCAGCAGGCTTACGAAAGGTCTTTTATGGTAACTGTAGCAGGTAATGTGTACTGAAAGGAATTAGATTTCTAGAATGCAGAAACAGGAAGGGGGGACACAACAGAGGAGCGTTCTCCGGTCCCAAATGATGAGATAAAAGGATCAAGTACTAATGTGAAAAAATACCTCCTCATTGCTGGTGTTGTATCGGCAGAGTGGAAGGCAGAACTTCATCTCCTGTTCACCGACGGCACTACAGCATTTCTGAATGTACGCTTTACAAATGCAATGGAGCATAAACATAAATACGTTCTGAGAGGACATTTTTCCTTCCTTACCTGGATCCGATCGTGATGTACTGCGTCGCAGGAACACTTGCATTCCTTTTGCAGAACCGTCGCTCTCAATGACGATCCGAAACAGTCGCCCTTAAGTGGAAGAGCCTTGAAATTGCTAGTCGCATCAAATTGTGTAGGACTCACCTTCAAAGCTTTGCCGGTGCAGATTTGCCTCTCGCCGGGACAAATCGCTTTCAGTTCTCGTAACGAAATTGAGTAGAGCACAGGAGCCACGAATACTAACAGAAACGAAAAGCCGAACAGCATTGGGAAGGGCGGACTGAAGCCGAACTCAATGAAAAAGTGTTGATAACGAGTTGTGCTAGAGAAAACCGAGAAAGGGAAAACTGAGAGAACACGGCACAAATCTGGGTCAAGTCACAACGCCCGCCCTGATTAGTCAACCGCCTGTTGACGAATGCTCCCCAAAGTTTCATTCCTGACTATTTATGAGGATTCCAGAACTGTTCAACTCGTTAAAAGAAAAGAGTCGCTAACGCTTTAGACATAAAAACACCTAGAAGCCGAATCAAATGCCAGAACAGAAGTGTTTCGATGAAAATGAAAGCGTTCCTGTATTTGATGGGGATCGATCCGGTCATTCGCTTGTCAAAGGGACTGGATTCGAGGATAACAAGTGACAAAGAGCGATATACTCCTAGCAACTAGGCAGAGTTGGTAGCGTTTTCAGAAAGAGCAGTAGGACGGTGTCAGCAGGAAAACCAATCTGTGACAACTGCAGGTGAACTGTAAAGGATAATGAAAGGCAAGGGTCACCTTAAAATTGATGGGGTAATTCCACTCGAACTATGAAAGTAGAAATGTGAAATGGATCGCAAGTGAAGAAAAAAGAAAAGAAATCATCAAGAGCAGATAAAGTACTACGAAGCTCTGCTCTTCGTTGCGGAGAAGTCTGAGAAGCAGACAGCGAGATAAGAGACAGCGTAAGCTGCGGAGAGGAAAAAGAAATCCGGGTCGAGACAGCATAGCAGGTCAGCATTACGAAACAGGCAATATATCGAATGGTGGGCGGGTACGGATCTTTCTGGGCGTGGGAGGATCCAACTCTTAAGCACCAATTATCTCATTGACGCTTGGGGTGCAACGGATCTAGCGCCTTCTAAACGGCGAACCAGCTTCTAAACGTACTTGAAAATCTGTTCTAGAAGCTAGGAGAAGTTACGCTCTAGCAAGGGATGGAGCGTGGATATCTACTGGTTTTTGCCGCTGCTAGCTGCAAGCGACGGAGGAAAACAACACCTAAAAGTGTTGGTATCTAAGAATCAAAGGTAATGAGTATCTACCTCTTTGTTGTCAGTTTGTTTCCAAACAAATAGGAAATGACCATAGACAATCGTCAGCTTTTCGTAGCTCGCGCCAAATTTGCGCCTTGTGGTCAAATGGAGCCTTTGTAAAAATTTTAAACAGCTCACTAAGTGAACTGGAAAGAAATTTAGCGATAAATATACATAAGAAAATCAAAAGAACCCGGGCACATTTTACCAGACATCGGTACATGGTAGACAGACTAGCGACCGCAGACGTGAGTTGGATTGTTGCCAAAGTGTCAAGAGCATTTCGATGTGTTGAGAATTCCGGCTGGGCTATGACGCTTTTGTCCATACATTATATATCTTCAATATTCTTAAGCAACAGCAAAAACATGAAAAGAACACAATAACGAAACGAGTCGCAAGGCAAGTCCGGCTAGAAGAGAAGCGCTGACTGAAACGACAGCCCGCTAAGGGATATACGGAGCTTTGCTGTCGGTTTTTGAGCGCGTGTATGGGCTGTTGATGGGCGCACAAATTGGCGGAACAAGCCATACGTTCAAATGGGTGAATTAGGGGAGTACAGCACCATGGACTGCTCGTGAAACCAGTAAATCCCGTTGAGTGTGGGTTTTTTTCTGCGTGGTGTAATATTTTGACTCACTCTTTCGCTCTTTGTACGAACCAGGGAGATATATGTATCTTAAGAACTGTGTACGCCCCGCCCCTACTGTATCACTCCAAACTTTTTAGAAATTCTAAACCTTGCCCTCTATTGTTAGCATAAACCCATCTTCACTATACATATTTACCTACAGGGCGGTCTTCCCACAAGGATGGATTGCAAATATGGCACTTAAGGACGGAGTTTACGGCGAAAACGCAACCCATAAAGAATTGGTCAGTGGGTGAAAAAACCTTGAGGAACGGAGAAGAACCCAAAAATAGGGCTGTCCCCTTGCCGTTGATCTCTCCATTGATGCGCCTCTCGCTGACGTTATCAAGGCGAACGCCCTGCTCTGCGTCTCTACCAAACGGCTAGAGTCAGGAGGAGAGAGGATGGGCGGGCAGCGGCACGAGCGGTGATGCATCGTCGCGCATTCTGAGAAGGCCCACCTGCTTTTCGACTAGCTATATTTCCTTTTTTCGACCTAGAACCTTATCTTGGAATCTTTCTTTTTGTAAGTAGACTCGTTAAATAGACCTGGTCCATGGGTCGAATTTACCCCTATCTTGTGTAATATTCCGTTTACCTGGTCCAGCCAAGAGTATTAGTCACCAGACATTACATAACAGCTGTTTGTTTCAAATCTGCTTCTAGGCCGGGTACGAAATTTGGCACATTCGCATGAAAAGTCACAAGTCCCGTACAGGCAAGGCAACGCCTATGCTCATAATCAACGGATCTTTCCTGATTGAACCTTGTTATGTGCCTCTATTTATATTAACTTATCTTTATCTAAGATCTCCTAAAGCGCTCCTATGTTTTTTTAATACGTTTTGGAGAACCAAACTCGTTTGAAAACAATTCCCGTGGGCGGACTATGAGATCAGCTTAGCGCAAAGAAATTCGACCACTCTGGAAAAATTCGGCTTGAAATCTTCACCCTGCTAAATCGCACGATTCGCTAGAATGTTTGCATTCTCTTTTGTTTTTGATACCCATCATTCGACGCTAAAAAACTCTGATTATTTCTTCGAGGTTTGGCTTAAAAAATAAGTGGCACTAACACTACGTGTAAGCGATAGTAATTGCTCGCGCGTCCGTACAGTTCAATCAGTTACAACTTCTTCTCAATGATTAACAAAAGAGCATCGTACGTTAAGGTCAGAGTGGAATGAAGGAATAATAACTACATCGAAACATGTGAAACCGCCAACGTGCATTCTAATGCGCTTTCGCATCTATGTAAAGGTGTTTCAAACGCAAGCTACATACCCTGCTCCGTTCGCGACCGCTGCCCGCCCTCCGAGGTGCTACGCCCCGCATCGACTCTAGCCCTCAGCAACTCGGTTCAGAGCCAAGCGCAAGCAGAGCGCGCTGCACACGTTGCCAGTGTGCATCAACTGGCTCGTTCCAGTGGCGGAAAGGCGGGTCGACGGAGACCTCATTTCCTCAAGGTTCAGACCGTTACTTGGTTTTTTCTTCATCCGTGTCTCACTGACTAACTCCGTCTTTATTTTTAATGGACTACGTATCCATCTTGAAATGTGTAAATTTCGCTTGAACATCGTCCTCGGAGGCCGTCGACTTCACTGCTTACTCGCGCAGAAAGTTTGCTGTGTTCTTAGACCTTTTCTGATCCGAAATTTCAAACTCTTCTTGGATGAAATATACTACTCGATTAATTGCCAACTCTTTTCGGACCAGACCAAAATCAATCCAAGTGCCTGACGTTGCCTGATAAAGTGATGATTCCGTCCCACCCCTCGGACAGATATAGTCCATAACCGAACTGCTCACACTGCAAGCCTAACATCGTATCCGGATTCCGTACCATGGCCTGTACAAATTCTTCTATTTGTCATGCTCCACCAATCCTTTCGATCTTCTCGGGTCGTCATACTATTGAGTACAAAAACTCTCCTCGTCTTCTGCGGCCATATAATCGTATACCGAATCATTTCCGTTACCGGTTCTCCCATTCACTTTCGTCCTACCCGGTAAGCGAAAATATTTTATTTTTTCTTTCTTCTTTTCCATTTCCTTTACTTTGCATCAACACGAACCTATTTTCTTCTCTACAGCCCTCGTGATCAGCAAAAACGCAAACTATACTTTTTCATAACTTTAGACATATGCCTCTCAACTAGATAAACTTGTCTTTCGATCATTTGTCTTTGGTGAGCTCCCATGACACGACAACGAATCGCGAAAATGTTACTAATTGCGGAAAACAGATACAATAGTAATTTTTGAGTGATGGTTCACAAGGTGTAAAGCTCAAAAAGGCCGATAAAGAACGTAAGAGGCTAGAATTACACCATAACTAGCTATGTGTGGATTCCATTACAGATTGCGGCACGTCATAGGAAGCGACGATTTCGAGAAAGGAAATCCTCCCGCGGGGTTTATCACAGTATATGTCATAGCTTCACAAGAAGGATGAGTTACGCCTACCACATATCTGAAGTCCACCAAGTTTAGGTACATAAAATTACTTGAAACCCTGGCTTTATTATTGAAGCACTTGGTCAATCTTGGAATGCGCCATGCATTCTGTATTCAGGCAGAACCAAGGAGTCAACCAGGGACATTCGAATGCGTTTGGCTTACACTTTCACTGTTGAGAAATGAATCATATTTCATAGCTTGAAAGTAGCGGTCGCGATAAATCCCGCAGAAACCAATGGGAAACCATCCAAAGAGACGACAGTGCGACTGTTGGGACAGTGGTGACCATATCAACGGCGTGATGAGGCGTTGGAAACGCTCTCACTCTAACTTACCAGAACACCTCATTCCATGCCCACCGCCATCGTTCGGACTTGGAAAAGATGGCAACGGCAGCGTACTTGATATGATCCCGTTATCGTTGTCGTCCCACTCTCATTCTGGAGTGAACCTTATAAAAAGTGCCGTATTTTCTTATTACGCTCCTACAACCACTCCCTATCTCAGCTCTTACCGCTACCCTTTCCATCAATGCCGTGTGGAACTATTTTCCACCTCAGCCAACGTGACCACTTCCTTCAAGCCATGTACAAATGTGAAAACCGCATGGACAAGCACTTCACATCCCAAGAGCTCTGCTTGCAAGAGGAATTGAGGAGATGGCGTCAACACCTCCACAATTCGAGTAAAAAAGCTCATCCAACCTCTAGAAGCCTTCATTTTCTAAAAGATGCTTGAATTATATGCAATTTTATGTAGCTCAAATACAGGCAAGCTAAATACGATGGTTCATAGCTTCAGCGCAGCGTAATTCTTTTGCTATCAAAGGGCAGTTTTTCCTTTGCTCTCTTCGTAAGCCCTTTGCCCGTAACTGGTCCTAGTTATAGTACTTTCAAGAAGGCTCAGAGACCTTCGTGGACGTAGGCGCGTGTTAGACTCCATCTCTCTCATCGAGCTCTCAGTGCGCATTATATTACGTCTGAGTTGTGACGTCTTAGTGCTTGTACTTTGGGTTCGACGATCCAAAAAGTGGGGAGGCGGCATAAGCGCAATACAATCCTCCACGTGGCTCGCCCTGACGGTGCTACTTGGCCGGTATCCCCTCCCACCGGACCCAAAAGGGATAAAAGCTCATCCTGCTGAGGACATTGGCGTGTATGTTTCTTTTGCTTTTTGTCACAGATTAATTTATGTGATAATTTTCCCTATTCATTCCTCTTTCCCACTTGCACTAATCTCAGCAGTAGACATACCTCATGGTATAGGTATACCGATGGTATATTCAATATCTATAAAGCTGTTTGAAGGAGTAGCTGAGGTGATAAGAGCGCGTACTCCGTGGTGAGGTTCAACCGTGAATCAAGTGTTCAGAAGCGCGATATCGGCTTGAATCTCGCACGGCCAAATGGAAAAATATTCTCCAAGTAACGTTCTGAGCTAGGTAGGTCTAGGTAAAGGCTCTATGCATGGCGCATACCAAAAAGGGATGTAATTTACTGATCGAAACCTGACCGCTTCATCTTTTTGGCTTAGCAGTCCAGTAACTGCCTATACTGCGGCCCCCAAGCGCTGCTGCATCCCGACCTTAAATGACCGTAGTTCACAAAAGTTTGGGGGGGAAACAAAAACGTAGGAATGCAGCAAAAAAAATTAGTGCATATCTGATAATCAGCAATGCCACACTGTAGCAGTGACGACAAACAACGTGCAAGTTGACTCGATTTCATGAGTTTCTGGTAATTGATGCATGAATTTCTCCTTATATGGTGATATCATTTGCTTCCATTATGATTCAATCACGAGGAAAATCACAGTTACAAGAGTTCCTCGTTGATTAGAGCTCCTAGCTAAGGTACCTCAACTTCCCGCATGTATTAAGTCCTGACCGCCCCTTTCCTCTTGTTCTACTTGCCAAAAAAGAATGCGAAACATCCTCTAAAAGGACCGAAGCCATGGACGAAGCTCAAATCAAACGTCTCCCTTAGTCTACAGAAATCAAGTACACGCTATGTGAACAATTTACGTAGATATTGTTGCTGTGGTGGCAAGTAGGGCCTCCTATCTCGAGTAATCTGTGTGGTCAAATCACGGATAGAATCTCGCCATGAGAACCAAACTGCTTCCGCGGTCCGTTTAGCTGTCTCCTAACTTATAAGGCAGAATAAACCCCTGACTTGTGCATGGACAGGTTGACGCTCTGAGTCATTGTGATGGACATGCCGCTTTCAAATGCTACCACGACTCCGAATATGAGTAGAACGCTTGACGCATCCCGACAGTTGGTCAAGCTACGCCAAAAACCTCATATTTTATTATATATTCATACTTCACACTCAGATGTTATGAGAACTTCACAAATTTACACCTAGCAGGGTACTGTACGTCGGTTGTTCCTTGCAATCCTTGCTATAGACCGAATCGCATTCATGGGCTGCTACAGCTCTGGATGGAGTCGAATGCGTGCCTCACTCCCAAAACATGCCTACTTCTTTGTCCTTTGTCCTGCACATGTCATTAGGACAAAATTTGTGGTCACCTAGCCCAAAGCACTTCTCCGCACGTGCGCGCGCTGTAGGATCGGATTACAGGCGGGTTGGCGAAACCACTAGATTTCCGAATAGAGATTAGTTTTAAATACTATACCAAACCCGAACTGACACCTCAATAATTCTTGCAAATCTAATCCGATACTATAATTCCTTTGCCCTTATGAACGCAAATCAAATCGAGAAGGCGTAATACTCTCATTAGTAGAAACTATACTGAAAAACTAGCATAAACCGTCATAAACTGTGCGGCTACTCATTCGAGAATTGTGACTAAATATGGCGCTGCTCGTTGATCGTATTTCTACAACTTCTTCTACTTTACCTATTTCTTTCTCAGTGCAATTCTCAGAGGAGTTTTAGAACGCTAGCTGACCGTCTGGAGCTAAAAAAAACTCAAATGAGCTTACTCATGCCCGACGTCGGCATCACGACGAACCACAGCGAGTAGTTATTTCTATCGTAAATTTCAAAGAACGGCCTGTTAGGTTAAATGTCGGGTATCATTCAGTAAGGGGGGTCAGTGGTGTGGCAGTTCTTGCTGGTTACATAATTTCGAATTTTGTTAGAGGAGGGGATTCCCTGGGGTGCGCGAAAATTTCACTTGAGCTTTTACACCCACCCCGAAGCTTCGTCCCCTGAAAAAATGGATTACTTTATGCATTCTGAACCATCGCACTACATGCCCCCTTCCCTTTCCTCTTATTAGATGAGACCTTAAAGATCTTCCTACTTTGTTATGCTGAAACCTGTTAGTTTGGATTACTATATCCGAAACTATTTTTTCGTATAACTTCGTATAATGTATGCCCGTTGCCCCTAGTCTGCAATTGCGACCAGCCCGCCCACGGAACATAAACTTGTGGAAGCAACAATGTTCTGCCAATTCTGCAAAGCGACTTTCTTTCATTTCTGAAGACACTGAGAATACACTCCTGAGTTTATTGGGGGAGGGGGCAATAAGATATGTAGTGGAAAAAATCACGCTCGTCAGCCAGAAATAACGACCGTTGGAAGGGAAAAATCCGCCGCGATGCCCTAGAACTTTCTCTCCTCCGCGAAAAATTCGGTATCAGCCTAGGCGAAAGACTGTTCGCATTGCATTCCTCCCCCCCCCCATCCATTGAAGGTAATCGCATGCTTGCTATGTTAAAGGAGCTTTCCTTATTTCGTGTCATTTATTAGAATGATGGCCTCAAGGTGCATCGGTCGAAGTGGCATATTTGTGAGACTCTAGATCAACTTCCGCACACGCCTTTCGCAGTCCACTCCATCGCAACATCTCATTTTCAGAGAGGAGCCTATCCTTCGATTCTCTCTTTATACATTAGACAACCAGAATGTTATGCATGCCCTGCACCCATGCCCCAAGCAGCGTACTCTCGGACATTCGCCCCCTTCATCAGGGGAAGTTTGATCGGCGAACTCTCGTGAATCTTGCGTAGAGAGGCTTGCGCCAAGATGTCAGACAAATCCACGTGATAACGTTTGTATAGAATAAACCACTTATAGCGCGTTTTACTGAAAACTGTCGTAAAACGATATTATGCGGAATTTTCAGTTAAAAGGCAGCTATTGAGTTTTCAAAATGTCCGAAATCACGGCCTGATTCAGAATTATCTAGCAGCGTTCTCTGAAAGACTTTTCCGAGACCCAGGGTTTTATGGGACCGGAGGAGGTTTCTTCAACTCCTTCGCCATCTCATGCATATTATATGACTTCTTTATTGCTCCTTATTGTTGGTATGCAGTACTCTTACCAGCATTAATACTAAGTTTTTGATATTTTTCGCTGGTTTCAGCTAAATTTTTGTGCCGGAAGCACATTCAATAATCGACGGCGCTATCGCAAGATACAGGGGCATGGCGGTAGTAGTGTATTTGAAGTCGCGGTAAATATCTTTTTTGTTGAAAACGGGACTAAGGTTGGGGAAGGGACCGTAGGATTTGTAAGCAATTTTTATTTCGGCCGGAATTTTTCCCCAGGCTTGACCTAAAAGAGCTCCGCATCTTGCGATAGCGTTAAAAAAACTATACATCTGGTACCCTCGCTAGTTTTCAGATCCGAGGCCCTCAGAACCACCCCAGAAAGTGGCGGGGGCGTAACTCTTTTGAATCAAATCGTTTTTCATCAAAGTAGCATCTGAAAAGGCTAATAAAAACAGAGTAGTCAGATCAGCGGTTTGTTCCAATTCAGCTGCATTTTACGCTTTTCAATCATCACCTGACGTTTCCCAGGCCAAACTAGTCATGGAGCAGGTGTTTTCCTCGTTCTCTGTAACTGCTGCATTCGCTCTCCCCACGCATTCAGTGCACCCGTGCCCTCTGAGAGCTCTTCTGAAGGTTAAAAGGCTTCAGTCTCAAGTGCCCACGCCTTTTATTTGCGGAAAGGGTTTCAGCCACTACGTGATGACGTCAGCGGTCGGCTTGGTGTTGTGTGGAATGTGCTTATGTGTGGTTAGCAGTTATCCTTCGCCGGAGACGTCTCAGGAAAACCTCCGAAATGTACTTCGGTGCATCAACAGGTAAGCGTTCAGTACATACATATTTCCGCGTTGTTTCACACGACAAGGTGCTCTTTGCGGCGAGCAATAATCGCAGCAGTGATGTTTGATACTTTTCCCTCTGCGGAAATTGCCTAAAAATTGGAAATGATGATTTTAATAAACAGAGAGACAAATCGCGAGAAAATTCCCATAGACGGCTTTTTGACCTTTCTCAGTATAGGAGCAGGGTTAGAAGAAGAAGTGAGCATAAGAGTGAATCGAGTAGAAACATGCCTAGGCGTCGCAATTACGCTTCGCTTTACTTTAAGGTGGTGAAAACCCAGTCAAGGCGGGAGGAGGGGGGGGCACTCATTGTGTTCCCCAATCCCTAAGATAAGAGTGAGAGGGCTCATGACAAGATCGACTCCTTTAAAGTATACCTCTAAGGTAGGAAGAGCCGGTGTAGCGTGGAGGTAATCCTGAAGCGCTACCACAATTTGGCCTGCAATGGTCCAAGTAAACGGAAAATGGAGAACTTCGCCTCGGCCTAACCATAACGGTAGAGGAGCGCCAGGGTTGATGACCCGGTGCAGAAAATTGGATAGCATCAAAAGTGTACTTCAAGTGAGTCTCTCACATATTATGTTAGAGACTGGTGTGGTTAGTGCTAGAGAAATCAGAAGATTGCTCCTAGGGCTAAGGGTAAGATAGCAATAATGTCCTCCCCTTCCCCCTCCCCGAACTGCATTTTTACCCTTCAAAGTGCTCATATTCAGGGAATATAGACTATGAGGAAACCCTTCATTTAATGCTTATCGGTTAGCTTTCGTTGTCTTAACAGCTTCGCTAGACGAACAATAACTTCCAAAGCACAATACAGCCGTTGGAATCTCACAAGCAAGTCCCTCTCAGTACTAAACTAACATGTCCAAATAACTTTAGCACAATAATCGGGCTGGTTAATCGTTTTATATTGAGATTTGTTGTAAGATTCCAGTGATCCTAATATGCTCACCAATAAACATTACATGGAGGGAGCCCACTCAGTGGAGACTTCTTGAACTAAAGACGACAATGGGGCTCTGGAATGGCTCAGTAATTTTATATTAAGATTCTTAGTTAATTTTGTCTCCAGTTTACCAGTGTCCATCAAAAATAAATCAAGTACTCTGAAAAAGACAGACCGTCTCTCTGTAGCCAAAGTCACAAGAACAGTAACTACGAGGGTGCGGGATCACCGTAGGAAGGAGAAGACATAATTTCCTACGGAACTCTTGAGAAAAGAGCCAGATACCTTGGAGCATGCGGCTATAACAATATGATCGTCCTTTGCCCTCCATCCTCAACGCCGATATTAATTTCTCTATCGACTATAATTTCTTCCGATAGGAAATGGAGAACATTGCTCAAAAAAACCAGAAAAGGAAATAAAAAAAAAAACGTCCTATCAATATGCATGGTCAGATCTTTTTCATATCACAGATCCGCGATAATACACTTCGGCTGGGACACTCTAATCTAGGGTTTGGCTGAAATAATTATAAACGCATAAAAATAACTACCATAAAAATGAGAACTCAATTAATTTTATACTGCAAATAAATTCGAGGACCAGCTCAAAAAGCGCCACTTTCCAGCGTTTACACTCTAGGGAAAATTGTGGCAACATGAATACGCGGTCCAGTTTTTAAGTGACACTCAGTAGGGTCTCCCCACGTTTGAAGACGCATCGATGATCAAACACTACCCACCCAGACCAGACGCGAGCGCATTGGACGCTTACCCATTTTAATGAATATTCTAAGAAATGGTTTACGGTTTCAGGAGCAAATGCTAAAAAAATTTGAAGTAAAGCGCCTCAGCGCTTTCTAAATGTGAATTTTTTTAGAATTTTTGATGGGTGCGAATCACTCAGAAACAATGAAGGGTTGTTTACCTTTGGGGATTTCTCATGGCTCAGTCAATCAACCAGCAGACTCTTATTTTCCTGACATATTGAAGCCACTAGCGTATTTTCCAGAATTTTTTGAACTCCGGCAGTCAAAGGCGGGGAATCATTACAAAAAATGCCCACAGAGTGTTGGACGGGAAGCGATCAATTGCCTCGTCGTAGAGAAGCTCTAGGTGTTACTTGGGAGTCTTATCCATCATGCGGCCTTCTATAGTGACCACGCCATGAGAGGGACCGTCAGCACTTAGATGTCAATTTAAAAACCAATGACTTACCCCATCCAATTTTAAGGGGTAAGTCGTCTCATCAGGAAGCACCCTTGTAGAATCGGTCCATGGGCTTTTGTTCAGGGCTTGAATATGATCACACATGTTGAACAGTTCACTTGGCGAAATCACTTGTCCTCCTGCACATATTGTACTGTAAATCGTTTTGAACAAATTTTTAGCTAATAATAATAATCAAATATTAATATATCTTATTAAAATTTTGTAATTCATAATAATATTTGGGGACCAGTGCACAACAAGGTCAATCGCCAAGGCAATCTGGACGGACCCTCGCCCTAATATCTAACACATATGTGCTACAGTGAGTACTGTATTGTATATTTGTTTCAACGACAAACTTCCTATATTTACGTATCCGGCCACCATTCATTTCTGTGTAAATATGAAATGCGTGGCGCATCTTATACTGAATGTAGTGCACCTTGAATTTGGCTCTTTTTGGGTGTTTTTTTTCTTACCAATTTTCCTATTTCAGGCGTTTCACTAGTGTCAGCTGAGTCCGACAACAATGAGGATGGATTAACCACAGGTCTTGTTTCTCGTACTTATTTTTACAAGAAAAAAAAAAATTAATATGTAGGTATAGGTAAGTATGGCAGTTGAGGGTTTGGAACATATCAGTTTATCCGATCTATTAGGTCGTGAGGAATGTTCTTGCGCTTTTTGGTGTTTCGTTTTGAATGCTCTATTCGTTATACGTAGCTCGAAGCAAATGCGCCTACCCGTGTTATACGATGTTATATGCCTTTTTGAAGAGCTTTTCTTGTTCTATCTACTGCTGGTGCTAAATTAGGTTACTTCATTTTTTGAAGCCTTGAATACGGCATACTCCAAGAGCAAATTTGCATGATTTCCTTTTTCTAGCTCAAAGCAGGCCAGTATGGAGAGGAAGCAGGTCAAGATATTATAGACGCACTTGGCTGAGATTCGCAATAAATATGGTCTGAAGCAATTGTTCAAAAAGCTTTTGTAAGAATAGCGAGAGCCCTAAAGATTGTGAGGGTGGTGATCGGAGATTGGACAACGCCAACGATTAGTCGAACGTTCTGGTTGAAGCACGTTTGCACAAATCTATTGAGAGGGTTCCTCCTAAACTAATCGCACTTGCATTGTGTTTTCTTGTTGTACGGGAAGAGCTGGAAAGTCCCAAAAATTCAAATAGGGCGTGCCGCGACAGCTCACCATTTTGAAGGGTCGTTCGCCGCGTTCTAGCTTGTTTCATGCCATGAAAAAAGAGCGCTGATACTCTAAATCGTGGTTGCGACGTACGATCAAAGAGTGGATTCTTTGCTACAGAATACGAACCTTGGTGAAGTGATCGACCGCGATCAGGCTCTACAAACTTTGCAAAAGTGAAACTTCACTGAAGGAAGGTTGAGGTGACTTTCATAAGGTCAGCGGCTGGTCTAGCTTTTCGTAACCAGGTGGATCTGTTAATGTGGAAAAAGTACTCCTGATAATGTGTCAAACTACTCCTAGAACTCTGGCACATATGCTCGAAATTCTCATTATAAAGGAACCGGCTCGTCCCTGACAGGTAGCTCGGACGCACATTCCACAACCAACCCTGCAGAAGTTGGACAAGATTGGCTACGAATTAGTCCTGCGAACATCCTACTCGGTAGACCTTTTGCCTATAATTTGTCACTTTCTCGACTACCTGGATAGCTTCTCCAAAGAGTTATGCTTCAAAAACCAACATGATGCGGAAACGACCTCCGCCGGGTTCATCGTCTCTAGAGCTCCAGTATTCTGCACTACCGGCTGATTCAACGCAGCTATTATTGGCAGAGGTTTGTGGATTCTAACAGTCTTTACTCCAATCAAAAAGGTTTCGAATGAGCCGAGATACAGGCATTTGAAAATCAAGGTCGAAAAGCGCAAGAACTTTCTTCACGACCTAATACTATACCGAGAAAGCGCGCGCTATCGCAATATACGGGGCATATACGAGGAAATCCTTAAGACTAAGCCTAGGAGGAGGCAGGAACTCCGAGAAAATAAAAATGGTCCACGCACACTGGAGTCTCTCCTCCCTCGCTTAAGGCTTAGACCGATTTTCAACGGAACGGACATGCTTTACGCAGTTCTGAATCATTGCTACAGCAGCGTCCCCGTATATTGTGATAGCGCCGAAACCGCTAAATAACGAGAAGCTTGTTGTACATCGTCTCATTTAGTGCACTAACCGTAAGACTGTAATGAAAAAAAATTTACCGTTTTAAAAGGGGTATGAAAACGCGATTCAGGAGCTATTTGTTTGGTATACAGACGTACACTGCGCTGAGAGTACCGTGCATAGGGAGGGGCAGAAAGGAGAGATGGGGATAGGAAGGCAAAAATTAAGACGAAGTAAGAATAGACTATATAAATTCTGTAAAAGCGCAGTATGCACTAATATGAATTCTCAAAGTTTTCAGATGAGGATCGCGAGTGCACGAGCATTCTTCGGCAGATTCCATGGCGAAGTCCGCAATGCGTGTTCTCACCGATCAAATGCCTGTTCAGTCCTGAACGTCGACGAATCGGTCGATGAGCTCCACGAACCAGTCGAGACATTCCCATCTAGTTCTATAGGTTCTGACATTTCATTCTTGTGAATAAAATGTTAAGAGGTTATCAGGTATTTTTTCATTCTTGAAACGAATTTGTATAATGGAGCACATCGTTCATTGAACGCACTGCAGCCCGCGTGCATCACCGGGTATGCACTAGCACAAGCAAGCAGCTAACAAAGAAAGGAGAGGGAAGCAGAAAAAAAAGGAAAAAACTATGGCCGTCGCCAGCGCCAAATTTGGAAGCTTAATAGTTGGTTTAACTGTGCTCTGGTGCGCGAAAAATAATATGGGCTTGTAGGGAGGCAGCATGGTCCTGTAAAGAAGTTCCGCGTAAAAGTCGCGATGACAACTTTGTGCATCTCGGGGATGCACCCGAGAGTGATGCCCCGCCTAATATTACATATGTGACATGCACCGGGATCGATACGGACGTCAATATTTTATATCCATTTCTGAGGGCAATGACAAGCTGCTCGAAGGGTGGTGCGGTTTCGATGGCCGCACTGGAAGACAAATCCTCTAACTGCGCTGGTAATGCGGTTAGGATGGCCCTAACACCTTTCTGCCAAAGACATTCAATAACGTCATCAAAACCGCAACCCGTCCTACAATCGTGATCACTGTCCTCAAATGAATATCATAACCGCTTAACAAAACTAATCATCGTGCTCCTAATCCTGGAACCCCGACATTTTAGTTATTGTTCTATTTTGTACTTCTCCTCAAGGCTGCTAAAGAAAGATTTGTTCTGGCTTACGTTCCACCTGTTTTGTCGTTGTCAACGTCCTTGTTTCCACCGCGAACTGTACCGCAGAGCGTATCCTTTAAATATTATAGAACACAGGAATGCGTCAAAGCATAGCGTTTCTTTGTCACCCTTACCCATGAGATTGCTTGGCACGCGAACGCGGCCGTATCTGCTCACGTGCACGCTGATCTCCTGCAAATGCTTGGCGGCTACTACTGTGTCAACAAAGCAAGAAGACAACTGGCAATCGCTCCAATCTACTAATTGAAGTTCGTGCCTATCATGCAGGCCGACTGAAGAATATGGAGGTTTTTTGGCTTGATTTTTTTAGTCGCCCCAGTGAAGCAAGTTCATTGCTTTCTTCTCGAATCCGAGATCACAAAAGTTTTCCCCTGTCGCTGCATGAGTATCTTAATCGAGCAGCGATTTTTTCGCGCAGGTTTCTAAAGTGGTAGGAGTCGCTTTCGTACATCCATCCTCTTTTCGCTGACCAGTTCGAATGTCCAGCCCCCCCCCCCTTGTGAGAACGATCTCATCTCGCAGTTTTGGAAGCCAGTTCATTGGATTATATGGACTGTGTCTCTAGTTCTGCCATAGGGCGTGATCCGGTGCGATGCGAAGAGAAAGGAAGCGCAAGCAGGGATGAAAGCGGGGGAGAGTGAGGGGGTGGCACCAAATAAGTTGTGTCACGAGTGTCGCGCGCGGCACGCCCCAAATAGCGGTGGACACCCTCGCCTGCCTTGACCTACTGGAGTCCAGAACAGCCTCAGAACATAGACAACTTCGGATAACCACAGATTTCATCTTGATACGTTTTGATAAATACAAGGCAGCACAAAGGTGTATAAAAACAATCCACAGTGAGGTAAACGAAGAACTGAAGTCGACCAGAAGTTCATAAAAACAGCCACTTGAAAAACCGACAACAAAAATCACTCGTAGGGCTTGAAAATTGTCGACTTCTTCTGTGGTGGCGACGCTTCAACCATGGTGTCCGAACTTTCGCTCCTGAAAATTGAACTTGGTGATTCTTTTCACACCCCCGTCTGGGTCTGGGTGCAACAGTTCTCTGGCAGAGGTGGGGAGGGACTGAATCATTTCGTTTATTTGTCCTTGGGCACTTCTGGCTCAGGAAGCAGAAAAAATTTGTGGGGGCTCTTGCTCATCCTTGGTCAGAAGAGTACTGCATACATATGACAATTGGATAAACTATTGCAAAACAGCAACAGCAACAACAACCAAATAGGAATGAAGTGACGATGAAGTTGAGCTTACCTGCTCTTTTTGAGCACCGGTGGACCGTCATCATCCTCCCTTTCTATCGATGATCCACTACTCTCCTGCTGTGTACGTCGCCATTTGGCTCGTCTATTCGAGAACCATACCTGATGAAATGAGAAATGGTTTAGAAGTTTTAGGAGTGTGTTCCAGAAAGGTCCCGAAATCGCATGGGGTTTCAAGATTACTAAAGAAGCCGCTACGGGGACTTCAGAACTTCCGGATGACAGCGCTATGTGCTTTGAACTGCCCCCGCGCATTGTTGGAGTTGAGACACACAAAAGAATAGTACAATTTTGCAAAAAAAATCTTACCTGAATTCTCGCTTCAGGAAGTTGTGTGTTCCTCATCAGTTCCATTCGTTGAGCAGTACTCGGGTACGGTTCCTTTACGAAATGACGCCTCAAGAAGATCCAGTTGTTCTGCAACAGTGTTTTTTGACCTTCTGCGTGTGAATAATCGCCAAGCAGTCGTACTCTATCCATGCTACGGTCCAAGGCGTTGCTGGAATGGCCGCCGCTTCCCATTCCGACCTCAGGCAAGAAAATTATACAACGTATCTCGTTCAAGAGTTCTGCGCAGTTTAGCGGCGCCGAATTGGCGCGAGGCGTGGAATAAGCAGAAGGCGCACTTGATCCAGTGTCTTGCTTTTTCCGAGCAATTCGAGGATCGCATCCAGCACGACTATCGGGACTGGCTTTCATGGGTGCATAGGGTCACTAATTCGATATCCATGGGCCTATCAACCCTTACATCCTCACTATATGTGTATCCTTTCTTGCCATCACCTGTGGTGAGCGGAGCACTGCGGAACGAGATGGGTCGTTTATCGAGCAGTCGGTCATGAGTTGTATCTCAAAACATATCCACCCAGATTGACCGATTCTTCCTTTCTGTGGGTTTGTTCAT